GCCGTCCTGGATGCCACCGACGAGCTAATCCTTGCGTACGACACAACCAACGTTGTAATTGCGGCGCATGATGTTGGTTTCGTCGCTGGAGACCTGCACGATGGTGTTCGGCCCGCCAATCTGTACAACATTGTTCGTGTAGTACTCGACGGGTACGGGAACAAATTTTCGATCGCATCTAATCAAGCTCGCCTCGCACCTAGGCGTAAAGTAAGCTTTATTAGGTGCAAAGACTCAGCGGTAATTACGCTTCCTGCACTCGCTACTGATCGAGTTAAAACTTGTCAATTAAAGAGGATAGTGACAGTTAAAAAACGGAGATTCTTTTAAAAAATGTTCTTTTTTCAAAAAAAAANAAAAAAAAAGTTTCAATATCAATTTCAACGGTTTTAAGAGTTTTATTTACATGCATAATAAATGAATTCAATATATTTTGTTAAGAATGTTTGAGTGATATGGGAGAAAACAGTTCAATCCAATTGAACTAATTATCTATGGGCAAAAAAGCTCAGATAGTTTTGTTTGTTACGAATCTGGGTATCTTTATACAAAATCCTTGTATCTCCTGGATGCTTGCTCCTTGCTGTTGAAGTTCATCAAACTAGGAAAGTGTAAAATATTATATACGGTCAAACAGGAGGAAACTTTTTGAAATATCACACCTTTCCATTTCCTCGTAGATCTTTTCTTTCCTCTGCTGGTAATTACTTTGCAAAATTCTGGCTTCTTCTGGAATCCAGCATGGTGAGCCGTAGGGCGTTCAATGACCTACCAATGAAGAGTAGTATCAATATTAAACAACTCTAGAGAACTACATCGCTTCTGTGAAGGTTGTTTGATATCGCAAATACCGAGAAAAAGAAGTGAACTAAACTGTTTTACACATTTTCCAAGAGCTTGAACTTAAATCTATTGAACTGATTCATTATGCGTGTAAATAGAACTCTCAAAACCGTTGAAATTGATATTGGAACTTTTTCTTCGAAAAAAGAACGTTTTTTGATAGAATCTCCACTTTCTTAAACTGACATTATCCTCCTTAGTTGATAAGTTTTAAAACGATTAGAAGCGAGTGCGGGCAGCATAATTACCGCGGAGTCTTCGCACCTAATTAAGGTTACTCCACGCCTAGGTGCGAGGCGAGCTTGACCAGATGCGATCGAAAGTTTATTCGCGCACCCGTGCTCGACGAGCACTTCTCGGAACCATTGACTCCATTGCTAGACGTTTTGCTCATCCACCTCGTGTTTTCGAGCCATCTCCTTCGCTGTGATCAGGCGAAGAAGTCGTAGGCGAAGATGTAGCTGGCAAAGAGTTTGCCCTTCAGATATCCAACCTTCCTGTCCACTTCGGGTTGCCGGTACGATGAAGGGTGCACTCGAACTTCCATCTCCCATATTCGCCGCTGGGACATTTCTGCTTGGTGTCCTGACCTTGATCTGGGTTTCCACAGTTTGGACATGGACGATCCTTCCACGGAAGTCCTCGTTCAGCGAGCCAGTCGTCAAACTACTCCTTCGTCATCGCAGCCAACTGCGGACACGTTAAAACCAGCGTGAAGAACCTTGCGCAACGACAGCAGATTTGCAGCGAAGCGTAGCTAAAACCGATTCATTCGTTCCGAGAATAAAACAAGATCCGTGGTAACTGAGAGAATAGAAAAGTACAATGAAACATTTATTTACAAAAACAACTGCGAGAAAGAAGAGTTTCTAGTGAAAATGCGTACGGACGATTGACTAGTTCATTCTCAAATCCAAGCAATAGAAGAGGGATCCAAACAGTAATGAAAACACCATTAACACAATTATTAAAAGTGAAGCTGAAAGGCATTGTGCCGTGAAATAAAATGGGTAGTCTGTAGCAGCGCTGCGTCTATAGCATTTATTTGACGGCTAAGTTTGTAAGAGCCAGCCGCACTAAATTTTTGTTTGTGTCTACTCTGAAAGCATCCACACGCGGAGACTGCTTCTCTGTTTGGTTCTCTCTGCGGCAGAAATTTCGGTTGACATTAGCCTTATAATCCCAGGGCGTTTCTTCGTGGAAGGCTTATGTAACCTATTGCTTAGTTTATAAATGATAAGCTCTTTGTTGTATTAGTGCAAGTTTTTTTCCACCTTGTCAGGTTTGCTCACAATATGTTACTCGTCGTGTTGCATTATTGTTTCTGAATTAGTTGGTTGTTGATTCAACAACACCGTCCACTAAATAGCCTATGGGGAGTGTTTAACGTGCATGTTGATGATTTTGCCGAAAAACATCTTCTTCTATGTAAAAGACTCGAGAACATAACTTTAAAGCTTGTTTCATAGGAATAATGGAAGTCCAGATGAGAACACCACTGAAGCGCCCTTTGTCGTTTTCTGACGACAGTGTCGAGTGGGATAAAATTCGAGACAAGATCCCTGCCGATGGTAAGATTTGCATCTCTATAGACTAATCTCCATTCAAAGAGTTTCTGAAATAAGAAGGTGCTATTTCAACTCCTTGTGAAACTTTTCAATACTGGGGTTTACTCATTGAAAGGACAGTTGTTATTATGTTGATGCATAATTATTGCGGATATTTCGCGGCTTCTTTTCTTTTGATAAAATTAAACTCTCGAATTCGAGATTTTTGTAGAAATAATCTTATCGCTTTTTTTAACAGAGAATGTTTGGAAAATCATCTTCATATACGTCGAGTTATGCTCTATTACTTCGAGAAATGTTGGAAGGCGGCACACTCATAACGTGATCTCAACGAACTTCTTGGCGATGGATCAGTCAGTTAAAGCCGAACAAGGAATGGAATCTACTTCTGCGGTCGCCCTATTCACCAACAGATACTCCTATGGATCATCGCGTTAAACGCCCTTTGAAAAATTCGTTAACGAACACTACTTTCGACGAGGTGGATGGCTTGATAGCCTACGTCAAGGCGTGATCGCCTCCGAGAATCGAAACTTTTTCGCTAGTGGAATCCAACCGCCCAGCAAGATGAAGCAGCTCTTGACGTAGATGGTGGATACGTTCCGGAGCAATTATTTGAACATTTCTTTGCTAGATATTTCTATCGTTTCTTCAAGTAAAATTTGCTGAAAAAAATCCGAAATAATTATGCATCAACCTAATATTTGCATGTCTGTTTGTATACAGATTTAGGTTATTCATGTGAAAGATTCCTGGTGGTAACACAAATATGAACACCATTAAATTTAGGTAACATAAATATGTGAGCGCTGTGAAATCCTGAGGTAGTTAAGGATGTCTTTCACATCATTCATTGCTGAAATCTTTTCAACGCAAACTCATCCAAGAAACAAAGTTATATATCCTCGTCCCTCAATGAATCAATTAGAGCGCAACTTCTATGTGTTCTTCTATATAACTCTGATCTAAACGCAAAAACAGTTTGAAGTCACTTTATTATCGTCCCTCAATGAATCAATTTGAGGCCTATCATGAAGCTCCTTTAACCGAACCCGAATCGTATGGAGAATGCGTCTTCAATGAAGCCTGGGGGAATTTTGCTAAAACTTGGATGGTCTGATATAACGACTGAAGCTTAGTGAACTTTTCGAATCAATTGTGGCCGTTTTTATGACTCTTTAAAGTCAGCACGAAATCGAGACGGTCAGGTAACATTGTGCAAAACGACCAGCATTTGTATGATGTCATGGAATATCGGCTTTCTTGTTTGAGTATACTGAGCCTGTAGCTGCAACGGCCACCTTATAGAGATGGATAGATCTGAAATCGAATCCTCTTCGACTCCCCCATAAATTTCAGTCAACTCCATGGGTTACTATTACAATAAATGTTGCATAGTATAACACGTTTCTGTGCTCTAACAGCATGGAGTAATCCGACAGAATGGATGGCCAAAAGGCAGGATGCAGCTAGTTCTCTCGGAGCATTTTCTTGAAGGCCGACATGTTCTTCCCGTTTTAGGCAGAAGTTAAACCCGTCAAAGTTCTCTGGATGTAACTATCCACATCGTTCCTTGTTAAGGTAAAGGATTGATGTGATATTTTCTGCATTTTCAGAAAAAATACTTGCTGCTAGTGGAAGAAACAAGCGTAAAATAGCCATAGACGGATAAGACGAATAAGCCATCTCGCGAAAACATACAAATTCAAGTACTTGTAAAAGGAGATTCCATGGAACGCAATTTTTGTCTTCTCGAGCTTTTCAAAATGATTAGTTGTAAGTTGAAGGGTCTGCATTAGTTTTTGACCAGCGCTAATGTAAGGCTTTTACGAAGGGCCTGCATTAGTTTGTGGCAAGCGTTAATATAAGCTTCTTCGGCTTTCAAAACTGTCTAGTGATCGAATTTTAATGATTTTTCCCCTTTCTATGTGGGTTGCACCCAATCTGAAGTGGCCAGATATTTTGGAAAATGGTTTTTGGAATTCCGTTGGTGTTGCTCGAACACTCCATGCTCAGACTCATTTTTTCGAAAGGGTGAAGCTTAGTGTTCGGATGATTTCCTGCATTCTTTTTGTTAGAGAAAGGGTGAGGGTGTTCTCGGAGAGATAATGGTCGCATTCGTAATGCTGCCATCACCGCCATGTGGGGCTGACCATCTACCTACATCTCGCAGTGAGATGGCTCTGCTGCATTTATTTTTACTTGAGCTCTGAAACTCATTGAATCTCGTATTGCGCCACAGGTTATTGAAAAGCAGTCATCTCAGCACCTAGCGAATCTGATTTTTATGACTTTTAATGTCACTGGCTGGTCATGGGTGAAATGTGTGAGGAACTATGTAGTTTGTAGAATGTAATGCTTATTCAAGAGACAGTACATGACTCTTCGGTAGAAATTCAGTTTGTATACCAGTGCAAAAGTCTGAAAGTCGAGTGCTTCTCACCCTGAAGGTGTACGAATTCTAGACATCTCCACCGATCATCCCGTAAACTATTTTATTACAGTTGGATGGAATTCGTTAAGAACAAAAAGTGGTAGTGATGACAATGTCTCTGTGAACGTAAAAGGTCCGCCTGTTGATTGGACTCCTTATGGGTACGTGAGTGGACGGAAGGCTAAGAAACAACGGATGGATCGTGTCGCCGCCGCCTTATCAGTCAAACGAACCAGTACATGTACTATCGACAAGTTAGGTGAGCTGTTTTGAATCCTCTTTTGAAATTAAGCTGTTCAGGTTATTGAATAACGGTCATCTCGGGTTTCTATCTAACGAATCTAGCTTTTGTAGCTTTTTATTGGCCCTGGTTCTTTCAGAAGATGCGGGCGAGCGTGAAGTTGCTGAGCAAATTGCCCTCTCTGTCTCTAAATACTGTGGATCATTCGTTTTTGAAAGGTTCGTCATTGCATGTTAGGTATCACGTCGTAGTTTATGTTCTGGTCTAGAATGGCGGCAATGTAACCATGACTATCCTAGGATATCCTTTCTCAGTCGGCTTTTCTTAAAGTAATTCTCACGAAACGTTTTTTTCCGAAGGTACACACAATCTCACCCTAGAGCGCTGTCAGTGATGCTTTTTTGTTGATCCAAAGTTGTCAACTTACTACGACCTATTCAATTCTTTTCTTGTCAAAGGATCGCTCTCAGCATGTTCTTGTAATGAATTCTGGAATCCTGAAGTATCTAGAGCAGCTTATCTAACTGATATTTACCACAAAAGTTTGTTCAGCTCCGACAACGAAAAATTCGCTCGCCTGGTGCCATTTCCCAACAGCCACGCCAGCACTAAAATGCCTGCTAACGATGACTGGCAGTTGGACAAGTTCGATTGCAAATTGGTGAGTTGTCTCAGTTTATGATATAGAGATCCCATGGTTTGTTCATACTAATCTTATATTATATGTCTAAATTAGATAGTTATTGAATAGTAACCTCTCCTCGAGTGAAAGCGGGTATTAACCAATGTTGTTGACATTTAATAACAGTCAATAATACAACAGTGTTTGACTTTATGAAACTTCATCTTTACAATCTCTTGCGAAAAGATGTCAAGTGAAGACGTTTGTGAGTAGAATAAGTTCTCTCAGGTGACATCGATCAAGGGTAAAGGCAAGTCGTGATCTACAATATCATTGCGTTCTGTAACTCGAAACATGGTAATGGTGTACTTGTACACAGCAGGTTTCCTTATCCTCGCTTATTTCTGGAGATTTGATCAGATCTGAACGTAATCATTTGTTTTGGCATGTGTCAGTCTGAGTCAATATTCATTAAAATGCCAGTGGCCCCTTCCAAATACGAAGGGCATAGTGTGGACTCACTGATACTGCATCTTGAGTATTACTATTAACATGTTGACGACAATGTCGCGCAATGGTGCGCGACAGCCAGTCTGTCTCATGGGACGATGTCGCGCAATGCTGCGCGACGGTGCATTCTTCGTTTAAAGTGTGTGTGCTCGTTCCGTTTTTTGTGCAGATTTTCAACTTTGGCTTATAAGTGTCCAAAATAGCATCGGCCACTTATTAAATTAATTCCAAGATGAATAATACAAATACAAGACAGGATCAACCGCAAGAGCCATATCGTCGCCGTCTAAACCACCTGAAGCATCATCGTCGCTTTTGAGCAGCCAGTGGTCAAAAATTTCGTTGAGCCTTCCATTTCAATATCCGGGACACTCATGATGACAAAAATAGTCGCAAGG